GCTTTCTGAGACGAATTGCTGTACTCTGGAGTCTCGACAGGGTCTAGAGTTTAGATATCTGAGAGAACCTTGGTGTACATCCGCTGCTTCTCTAGATTAATAAGTCACGGTTGCGATGACTTTGGCCGTGTTGTGAATGTGTTCAGAAAAGAAGGCAAAACAGCCACTGCTTGCTGAACCGACCGGTGAGGACCCCAGGGACGGCCTGGAATAACCTGGGCAAATGTGTCGGTGAACTTTGCTCCAGACTTGAGCATCTCGATCAAGAACGTTGAGGCACTGTGTAACTCGTCAGCCTCCACTACCTGACAGGATAAAAGGTCATCGAAAGTGACTGACTGACTGTTGGAGTGACTTTACCGCCATTTTCTGCGTCGATTTTGTTGTATTTCTCAGACATCACTTGAGTCATCGTCGAATGAAACCGCGAGAAACCAAAAAAGGTCAGTTGGCTGCCGGTTATTCGTTTTCCCTAAGAAAACTTTCTTTCCTATTCGAACATCGGGAGCATCACAAACAAACCGGTTGACGGCGGTTCGCAAGACCGCAAGGTTTTATGACTTTGCTACCGAGGTTTTTAGGATGTCTCGGAATTATTCAGACATCTTAAACGGTGGGCTGTTTGAAGACGGGTCGTAATTGGGTTTGAAAAAACATTCCGCTCGGTGAAGTGAGGAGAACTGTAAGACTGGATAAAACCCCTGCTTGACAACATCATCGAATTTCTCTCTTTTCTCATTCTGGCAGATGTTTTCAAGCCAGAAATGTGATGTTACCAATTTAATGGTGAAACGCCCCCTCCATACGACGCAGCATGCGGCATGGCGGCAATAGATAATCACCATGGTTTCTTCAGGGTTTATAGATCTGACAATTCCCAGTCTTTAGTTCAAAATTAAGCATCCGGACATCCGGAAAATAAAGTAATATTGAAACCCTCAAATTTATCGAAAATGAAATGAAACAGAGTTTGAAATGACGAAATTAAAGCTTGGAATGCAAAGCAAGCATTCTTTTCTGTCAAGGGATGTGGTATTATGATACTTACAACAGAGTAGAACCTGAATAGCAGTTATCTCTTCAAAATGTTCGCATTTTTTTACAGCAGGCTTTTTAATGATAATTTTGTTTCTGTCATGTAAGGCAGTCTTTTGACTGCTTCGCATGAGGTCTGAAAGGCTACATATTGCACATTTTTCCCGGTTACGTGCAAAATTATGCTTTTTCTATTCAAAACGCTAACCTGGTCGGGGAGATGGCATTTGTTTCTCTTTATAACAGTTGCAAATCATTTCACTAATTGGGTCCTAGATTCTTCGGTCAGTGAATGTTTTCATTGCATCCTTCGCGAGGTTACAAATCATCACAGAAATGGGAGTGGCTGAAAAGGTTGTAAAATTATCGTTAAGATTGTTTACAGCTGACATGACTGCAATTGCTCAAGCAGCGAAACCGAGATGATTTTATCTTTAGCATGGTAGAGACTAGTACTGGAGGCTCAAATGGAACTTTACGTCACCCAAAGAAGAAAAAATGTCAAGTTCATTTCAAATGGAATAGGGACAAAACGAAATTTTTAGCTTGTACATTCAGACGCGATACAGAATTGGAAGCACAGGTCTTCTCGAGGTTTTGAGAAGCATTGATGCAATAGTAGATTGTGAAACTTGATGCTGGCGATGGTTATAGTAATGTAACTCCGTCATGAAGAAAAGGCAGAATAATATGAAGGATTAAAAGACTAACAAGAGGCAGGTAGTAAACAATGAAGGCGTCGGTAAATTTTTGGAAAATAATTTCCAGTAACGGATGGAGTTAGATTATTGAGCATTAAACTTGCAAAATGAATTTACACTTTAAGCTGAGTATCCTTGACTTGTACAGTGAGATAAATCGGTAAGTGATGAACCATATTTTAGAAAGTGCAATGGCTGTAGCTCCTGTACTATGAACAGTTCTGCATATCAAAATAAATTGGGTTCAAAACAAAGGTGCCAGCAGCTAACGCTGATCAACGTGGTTGATGGTTTATCATTCGTACAGCATACCTCCACTAAGCCACAGAGACATGACACGTGTTATAAAGAAAAACAAACAGCCCATGGTAGCATCTAGTGATCGATGGTAGAATGATCTGAAGAAGTTCGTGCATCAAGATGGATGAAAAAGTCAGAAAACGGAGATCCATATCGAACTCTTGGAGAAGTTTTCATCCAGTGATGAATGGATAGAGGCCCTCGGCAGTAAGCATTTGACAGATTTCTTTTTGTAGTTACGTCTGATCGATTTAGGTAACGAAGTACACCCCTGATGCAAACGAGGCTAGAAGAAACGAGAGGCACCGTCCGAATAATATCAGCAAGTATATGGGGAAATCTCTTCGCTGTGTCGTTTAGCCGAAGAATGGACGACAAACGGAAAATTAGCGATTGGAACAAAACTATAACCCTTTGCTCAATTTGGATGATATCGGCATTTCCTCCTTTGCAAAATAATATCTATTGGTTTTGTTTACCGTGTGGTCACTAGAATGCTAATGTTTATTGTTTCGGTCACAATATATGAAATATAACATGATTAGTATGAACATCGCCAGCTCGAACCCTCTACAGAGGGTTAGGGAGCTGCAGGTCTGGTCTCAAAATCCTGGTTGGTCCTAACAGAGGCGCCTTCTGCAGTTGTCAGCCTTGATCGATTCATCAAATTGATTTCTGTAAGCGTTGATGACCACTTTTCACGGCTTCAATGGCACCGACTAGTCCAGGAATGACGTCCATCTTTCCTCTTTGTATTCTCATTATTTCCATCGTCAATTCTCGGTGTTGCAGCACCTACTCCCCCCCCCTTTTACGAACAACGTTGCCATCACGAGACACGCTATGGC